CGGAGACTGTGTCTGAGGGAATGGCACAGTAGCTGCAAGTGACAGGAGAGGGCAAAGATGGGGCCAGCACTTGCTCTTGTTTTTTAACAGCTCACACAAAAGCCCACTAATGATGGCTGCTGAGTCTTTAATCAGCTGTGCCAAAGGAGGGAAGAGAGTTAAAGAGCAAATTGGGGAAAATCACCAGAAATACCCACTTCAGAATTGGCCCTTTCCACACCCCTTTCCCAAACATTGGGCAAAAAGTGGCACTTCTTCCCAGCCATGGGGAAAGCATGATTATTCTATATCCTCCCCTAGTCCTCCCCAAACATCCCTGAGTGTACCCCGTCAGCGTATTAGATATGAGATGAAGTGAATAAGGGAGAGCTAAACTAGGCCAGGTTCACCAGGGAGCAAGGGGAGCAGGAGGCAGACCGTTACACAAACTGTGTGACAATAAAAAGTCTCTCTCTGGGAAGTTCTCAAGTCACCTGAGCAGGAGCAGCCTTAAGAGTCCACCCTAGAACTGAGACTCCTAAATCTTAAACTAATGTGAGCACTGCTAAAACTTCCCCAGTCCTGGAACTCTACTCTACACAGTATTTCTTTCCCCTACTACACGACTATGGTTTTCCTTTTTATGTGGAGCAAAGTCCCAAGGAGTTCAAAGAGGCCTGTTTATAAAAATAAAAACCCAGGGGCACCAATATTAATAAAGTTAAACTAAAAAGATATTGAATAACCTTTGTGAAGTTAAAAAACAATGACTAATTCAATCCAAGCAACTGGGTCATGCTCAGATTCCAGTAATTGTAAAATTTAGATATAATAAGGCAAGAACTTTGCTTCGCTTCAGTAGTCAAAATGAAGGGCCCATTCAAGGGCAAGTGCTGCAGTCCAAACCCAGCAGGAGAGCTTGGACATCTGAGGTGGGGGAAGCAGGGCAGGGTAGGATCGCCATCCGGTACTACCTCGGAACTTGACAGTATAACAAAGAGATTCTTCTTATACAGTGCCAAACAGTCATTGAGGGAACACCTGAGAGGCTTCCAGAGACCACAAAGCCTAGGGCAGGTCTCCACTTAGAGGAAGCAAGTGAACAATCTAATCAAAGAGGTATTGTGAGGTACACAGCCACTCCTGGAACAAGAGAAATATACTAAGCATCAGACAACAGGCATATGCCATCAGACGGGCATTCAAGACAAGCGCACGTTGTCAGGCTGGCACACAGAGATGGGTACATACAACAACCATATAGGCACACACTGTCAGACAAGTACATGTATCCAGACAAATAGTGTCAGATGGGTACACACTGTCAGACAGACATACAACATAATATGGGAACACACTGTCAGACAGGCACACACTGTTAAATGGGTAACATAGTCAGGGAGACACACACTGTCATATAGGAACATACTGTCAGACAAGCACACACAGTCAAATGGGTACACACAGTTAGATGCACATTATCAGACAGGCACACACAATAAGACATATACAGACAGGCACACATGGGTACATAGTCAGGCAGACATACACGGTCATATGGGCATAAACAGTCAGACAGGTACACACTAGGTGCGAAACTGAAGGAGCAAAGAGCACTTGTGCAATACGGAAAGGTTCTATGTGAATGAATGTGCCCAAAATTAAAGAAAATCACACAATCAATCAAGCTTACTGGATCACTTTCTCCTTATTGTTAAAAATTACAGTTCATAATTTGGAGGGTGGATATCTGAATATAAGTGAGAGCCTTTACCTGCTGAGCTACAGTGACATTTAAGCATCTCACAGATCTGTCTTCAGTTTCTGGAAGAATCATGGAGAGTTAGAGATGGCCCAGAGGTTAAGAGCACTGGAGGAACTGGATTTAATTCCCAGCACCTACATGGCAGCTGACATCTGTAACTCCAATACTCTCCTCTTACAGACATACATGCAGACTAGACATCCACAGATAAAACAAATAAATATTTACTTAAGAGCTGGAGAGATGGCTCTGCTATTAAGAGCACTGGCTGCTCTTCCAGAGGACCCAAGTTCAATTCCCAGCACCAACACGGCAGCTCACAACTGTCTATAACTCCTGTTCCAGGGGATCCAACACCCTTACACAGTTATACATGGAGGCAAGACATCAATGCACATAAAGTAAACTTAAATAAATTTTTAAAAATCTTTACTTAAACTCCTATATAGCAACCTAACTGTCTTCAGTGAAAAGAAATCTGTATTCCCTTAGATAATGGGATTGGATCTTGTCTACCAGAAATTTTAAATCCATGGTTGCTGGCTAAGAACCTTCAAAATTAAAGCAAGAGAAATCCAGCCCCACATCATCCAGTCAGCTAAGTAGAGAATGCAGGTGGGCAGGGCCAGGAGAGTTTCCCATATAACGACATTTAAAAAGGTACCATTGTGACAGATTGCTTCTATTCTACTGAATGGTCCCAAGCAACATGGGAATTGGTACTGGATGTCCCAGAGTAGACAAAGACAAGACACCTAAACATCAATTTTTAAACCATTGTATGCAAAATCATGAGTTTACAAGAAAATTTGACACCTTAAGTGTAAGATGAAGTCACCAATGTATATCCCTAAGAAGGGAATGAAAGGCACAGAAAGATTCCAAAGAAGACAGAAATCTACACATAGATTCAAAAGCTTCTCCCAAACTGAACTGTGTTCTAATCACCTAAGGGTGTGTCCTCTAGTAACTGAATATCAATGTTATCATTTCTCCCATGTGACAGTCTAGATTTCATTATTTTTAGTTCTTACCAGATCTTTCAGAATTAGGACAATTACTAATAAATAATGACAATCACAGAAAACTATATTGTTGTCATAATGTAAAGAAAAACACAGTAATTTCAACTTTCCCAATATTCTGATTTCTCTGCTACTTTTGAAGAAAAAAAAAAAGCCAAAACAAATTAAAAAATTTTTTCTGATAGAAATATTCCATACGTGTTATAAAAAAATAACTAATGGTATATTTCCCAACATAGATATGTGTTCTTACAAGTTTTCTCTTTTCCATTCTCAACTTGAAAAATCCTTATAACCTGGTTTGCCAGCCAGGTGTGCCTCATTTGAAAAGCAAATGAAGAAACAGGCTACACCCCCAGCTTATTGTTTTCCCATCTCACTGCCAGCTCTTTTATGCAAGCTGAAAAATTAAAAGCAGCAGTGAGGGTAAAAACGCTGCTAGCCTCGATGTTTTACTAACAGACTTCCTCAGCCCAGTTTGGTCCTTGTTCAATTATGTCCATCCCTTTGTTGTGCATGACGTCAGTTTAATTCACACTCTGTCTCTGCACTGAGCAAGAACTGGTCTCAGGGTAGGGTGGGAGTACAGTGCTCCAAACCACTTTGTACAACTTAGCAACGTGATACAGAAAGTGTTTGGCTTCCATGAATAAAATACAATGGCAAATATAAGATACAGCAAGGCATCCAGAGAGTCGGGGCCTGTGACAGGATGCCAGATAATCACACAGAATGGCTGGCTCCATTGACTGGTAACCCAATATTGTGGCCTTTTTCAAGCTGAAGAATTAAACCTAGATCGAGGGCAACAGAAAGACTTTACCTTCGGAAATATTGTATCCTATTCCTTCCTGACACATTACAAGCTGCATTCTGGTTGGCACTCACACCAAGACAGAGATCAGAATGGCATTCAGTCACCCCTCAGCCTCACCAGGTGGTGGGGGATGAAAGAGGCTCCATGACACTATTGTTACAGGATTTGTGCCAAAGATGCTTGTACTACTATCCACCAAGTGGGCTACACACAAATGAGCTGTTAAAGAACTACAAACGATGAGGAAACAGTTCCTAGCTAAATAATTGAAACTAATTAACCAGAGGGTGGAGGGGGGAAGGGGGAACCAGGCAAAGCAGAAAAAGACCAAGAGTTCCCAGGACGGTTTCCCAGGGAACTACCCTGGAAAACACTACAATGACGGACACCTGTCATTCATTGAACATTTGCCCAATCCCATAGGAATAAACACCCTGAGGGAGCTCTAATGTAAGCTAGGAATCCAGACAAGGAATGATTCGCCCCAGTGGGTGGAGGGATGAGCAAATGGACTGCACCTGAACACAGGATAATGGATGACCACTGGGAGGCTATGCATGTGTGAGGGAGAGGGCAGGCAGAAAACATTCATACCCTTCTGTTCCATGTTGCTGAATCTTTAAAACTGCTCTTTAAAAAATGAGTATTTTTTCTATATATATATATATATATATATATAAATGACTATATTAGGAAACATTCCCTAGGAGACTTTTGGGCTTTCTGTTCTTGCTTTCCCTTCTGTTACTTATAAACCACCATTGGAAAGCCCCGTTTATTGGAGAAACGTGTCTGACGATGTCTATAAACCTCGAAATTGCCAGGAAATATTGGAGGAAATTCCCCTTGGAGAAGAATCCTCTCTGTCCTGAGCTGGCCACATCTGTGCTCCCCAGAGCAGGCAGGCATCACAGACCACTCAACCATCATTCACCCCAGTTACAGAACACTCTTCAGATTTCTCAAGCAACGCCAGCCCTGACTCTGACTTGCTGGCTACCCAAGGACTTTAAACAAAAGAATATGACCACCGACACAGACTCGGGCTCCTCCCTCTGACAACATGTGTCTAATGGCTATGAGAACGGGGGCTCAGCACAGGGCTAATGTCACCCTCATCCAAGCTTCTGTGCCATCACCTGATTTCCCTCCACAAAATATGGCTGACTTTCAAAGAAGAATAAAGCAGACTTGAAGATGTTTTAAATTTGGCAGTATGAGCCCCCCCCCTTAGAAGAGAACGACACGAGTTGCTATGCTTCGTGTTGCTTTGGTTTATACCACAGTCACCCTGGATCCAACTTGGCAAGCTTTCCTGGAGAGCCTATGAGGCTACAGAAACATTCCGCCACATGAGAAACAAATGTCCCCCAAAATGCAACGTAACACAATCCCAATACCCTTCTCCACCTACCTGGGAAAGCGTGTGGATTGGGGGACCCTCTCTTAAGGCACTTAGAACAGAGGATGTGCACAGTGTAGTGTAGTCCAGGCCACTCCTGAAGTAGGACATTCAGTTCCTCTACCAAAGGGGTGATGGCTTGCCATGCGGTCCATATATTTGGTAATGATGCATGGCTAGCAATGGACAGGGTGTCTGGCTGCAGGACCCCCTTGGCGGGTCGGTAACTCACCACCACAGGAACTTTCCCTCTATATGCAAAGATCTGAAATTTCCCATCCGACCTGTGCACCACGTGGCTGTTGATCTGGACACTGTAGCGTGCAAACAATCCAGGTGGAAACGTAAAGGGAAAACTATATTCGATCTGCAACTGTTCGGCCACAAAAGACTGCCCAGCTAGGTTGGTCCCATTGATCCAGGCCTCTGCGTGGGGCACCTCATTCTGTACGTAGCATGGGAACTTGTACCAAGCTGTAGAGCCATTCAAAGGCTTGCCTTTGGGTTTATTGAGACAGTAACAGAGTCCCATCTTCTCCAACAGCTCCAGTAGGAGCTGCAAGTCCTGCTGAGCCTGGACATGAGGCTTAAGCAGCAACCGAATGACATGGGCTGGCAGGAGCCCATGCAGCAGAAAGCCTTCCACATAATGATGAAACTGGGTGGCCCGGAGTGAATCCTGACCTGGGGTGGGCACTGCTATAGTGGGGAAGCCTTCCCCCTCTCCCTCGCCCTCTCCACTGCTCCCCAGGAGCAGTTTATGCAGCAGCAAAGAAGCATCTCTCTGGAAAAAGACATTGAGGATGTCAATGAGGCGGGTGAGGTTGTGGAAAACATGCTCCTTGAGAGCCGGGCTATCCTCAAAATAGAGCAGCTTGCCGCTCTCATGCAGGTAGGAAAGAGCACTCTGCAGCCGGTCCTCTGTCAGACCTGCCTGCAGACCAAGGCGGGCAGAGTCCCACCAGCTTAGCCACAGTCTTTGTGCCTGAGGTGGCTGGAAGTGCAGTTCCTCCAGCACCTGCCAGGATCGAGGCAGGACTCTGTGTAGGTTGGGGAAGATTTCTCGGTGCTCAGCTACAGAGAGCAGCTTGTCTCGAAGGCGTTGCAATTGGTGGGGGTCCCTGCAGCTAACAGGCAACACCGGTGAGAGGATCTGCAGCCTGTGGTTAAGCAGGTATTGGAAATGGGCCTTGCGCCTCCGAAGGTTCTTGTCTGAAACACCGTAGTAGGCTGCATGGGGGCTGGCAGAGCGCAGCTCGAAGTCCCGAGCCAGGGCCTCATCCACCACCTTGGCTAGATGGCTCAGGCCCTCTGCATCGTGCTTCTCCTGTAGGGCAATCTGGCGGTGAATGTCCAGACACTTCTCCTCAAGCTCTCGCTCCCCACACAGGTCCGCGTGCGTGCCCACAATGCACACCACAGCGTGAGGCACCCGGGCCCCCACCCGATGCAAGAAAGTGCCCACAGTAGTAGGAAAGCAGCGAGGTTCATAGGTGGCCAAGTTGACTACCAGCACATACAGGGCTCCTGGGGAGAGGAAGAAGGGCTGTATCACTTCATAGCTTTCATCACCAGCTAAGTCATACACAGTGAACCGCAGGCCCCGGGAAGCATCCGCAGTCCAGCTGGTCACCTCGATGCCCTTGCTCCCAAGGGGAGGAAAAAGTAGGTAGCTCTTCTCCTTGTCACCTCCTCCTTGGTCTCCCTCCACTTTGTCCTCAGTGAGGCAGTGTCGGAGCAGGGTCTTTCCGGCAGCCTTGTGGCCCATCAGGAGCAACTTGAGGCGGGGCTGCACAGCTGGCTGGGAATGAGCCAATTCCTTCTGGTAGGCTGCGATGTAGGGGATCCCCTTCATGCAGACTTCATAAGGGGGCTGAATCAGTGGGTTGTCCTTGATTTTCCACAAGCCCACGCGGGAGAGCTGGCCAAAGTTGTCGGGCAGAACAGCGATCTGGTTGCCCTGAAGCACCAGCTCCTCCAAGCCAGTCAGCTCCACAATGGAGTCCGGCAAGTAGCGGATGCGGTTATTATCCAGCCACAGGGTGAGAAGCCTGCCCAGCCCAGCAATAAGAGATGGCACTGAGGTGAGCTGGTTGCGACTAAGGTAGAGCTCCTCCAGACCAGCCAGGGGCAGCAGCGCAGCAGGAAACTCCTCAAAGAGGTTGGACGAAAGGTTGAGCATTTTGAGTCTTTGCAGGCGGCTGAACTCGGGGGGCAGAGCCTGCAGCCCGTTGTTGTCTAACATGAGGCTCTCCAAACTGGCCAGCTCACAGAAGCCGCTGGGCAGAGTGCCAAGCTCAGCCCCACTCAGCCAGAGAATCTTCAGGGCACGCAGGGCACTGATATCCTCAGGTAGGCCTCGCAGCCGGTTGCTGGATACATCCAGCTCCTCCAGGGCAGCCAGCTGCAGCAGCTGCCTGGGAAAGGTGGTGAGTTGGTTGTGGTCCACATCGAGGGTGCGCAGGTGGTTGAGGCAGGAGAAAGAATCTGGCAGATGCGCTAGCCGGTTGAAGCTGACATCCAGCTCCTCCAGGTGGGCGAGAGCACCCAGCTGGGCAGGCAGAGCTGGCAGCTGGTTGTGGCTCAAGTTGAGCTTGCGCAGCTCCCTTAGGGCGCTCACCACCTCGGCACCCAGGACTGTCAACCGGTTGTGGCTCACATCCAGCTCCGTAAGGTGATGGCCTAGCTCCGCCACCGCGGGGGGCAGCCGGGCAAAGCGGTTCCTGCGCAAGACCAAGACACGAAGGCTGCCCAGAGCCGACCCCAGACCTTCAGGCACATCCTCCAGGCCGTTGTTCCCCAGGTTCAGCACCTCAATGTCCCCGATGTTGGCCGGCAGCACCAGCTGGGGAGCGTCGGGGGACTCGAGTGGGTCGCCTCCAGGCCCCGGGCAGCTGAGCGTGAGCTGGCGCAGGTTGCTCCGCA